GTTGATCTTACGCTCAGATCCTGCCTGTGGGATTCCCACAACAGGGATCTGTTTGGCCACTGTGAGGACAGGATGCTGGACTAGATGGGCCACCAGCCTGATCCAGCAGGCTCATATGATCTTCTACTAAAAAAGGTAAACGGACCCCTGACCGTTAGGTCCAGTCGTGGCCGACTCTGGGGTTGGGGCTCTCATCTCGCTTTATTGGCCGAGGGAGCCGGCATACAGCTTCCGGGTCATGTGGCCAGCAGGACTAAGCCGCTTCTGGCAAACCAGAGCAGCGCACAGAAACGCCGTTTGCCTTCCCACCGGAGTGGTACCTATTTATCTACTTGCACTTTGACGTGCTTTCGAACTGTTAGGTTGGCAGGAGCAGGGACCGAGCAACGGGAGCTCACCCCGTCGCGGGGATTCGAACCGCCGACCTTCTGATCGGCAAGTCCTAGGCTCTGTGGTTTAACCCACAGCGCCACCCACGTCCCAATGTTCTTCTACTACTCCAAGTTAAATGCAGCCAGGCAAAATCCAGTGGCAAAGTGGAGTCTCCCCACTCAGAAGCAGTCTACCATCAAAGGCAGGGGACAGGCAGCAGGGGAGTGCCAGTGCCTTCTGTCCACGTTGGGGCCCCCACCCCACCCCACTCACAGGATCTAGCTGACCACTGGTGGAAACAGGGGAGAAGCCCATGTCTCACCTAGAAGCCAGGGCAGTTCTTATATGTTCTGATACATTTCCTAACTCTGATTTCCTCCAAAAATTATCCAGGGCTGTTGCGTGTATATTTTATGGGTTGTTGTTGCTGTTTGTTTAAAAAAAAAACCCTTTTAAGAGTTTCTATTTGGTTAGGCAGTAGATAAATTTTGATAAATTAATTTGTAAAAAACGTATTCTAATGAAACCTGGGATTCATTTGACGAGGGGTTGTGGAAAGTTGTCCTTAAATAAAACAGCACAACAAACAACATAGCAAGTACCTCAGAAGGTTGTGGACTCTTCTTTGGAGGTTTTTAAACACAGGTTGGATGGCCATCTGCCAGGGATTCTTCAGCTGTGATTCCTCAATTTCAGGGCTGGACTAGATGACCGCTGGGATCCCTCCAAACCCTACAATTCTGATTATCTACCCTGTATTTTGTAAAGTTGTTTATCCACTATGCATTTGATTTAAGATGTCAACACCTAATTTTGCACGATGGAGCCTTAAATCAAGGAACAGGTTTTCAGCTATTTAATTTTGGGGGGGATAAAACTGGATGCCATTTCGAATCAAGATGGCGGACTGAGCCTTTCAGAGCTGCACTGATTTCAAAACTGCAGGTTTGTTTGAGTTTCTTACAATTTCCGATCCACGAGTACGAATATGAGACAAGGCTGCTAGGAACCATCAGAGTCTTCCATCACCTTCTCTCTCCATCACAGGAATTAAAAGAACAAGCACACAGCCTAGATCTTGACCGAAAGGGCAACCTGTCATGAGAAATCACAGAGACTTTATGGGATTAAGGCCACATAATTGGCTTGAAGCGGCCAAGTGGTGTGAGCTTTACGTCTTCTGCGACAGGGAGGAGAAAGCCGATTGGGCAAACATCGCTGTTTGTGATGGGAAGTTAAAAGAGGAAGCCAGTGGTGTGTGTGTGTGTGAAAGTGTGTGAAAGTGTTGTTGTTTAGTCGTGTCCGACTCTTCATGACCCCCTGGACCAGAGCACGCCAGGCCCTCCTGTCTTCCACTGCCTCCCACAGTTTGGTCAAACTCATGCTGGTAGCTCTGAGAATACTGTCCTCTCTCGTCCCCTTCTCCTTGTGCCCTCCATCTTTCCCAACATCAGAGTCTTTTCCAGGGAGTCTTCTCTTCTCATGAGGTGGCCAAAGTCTTGGAGCCTCAGCTTCAGGATCTGTCCTTCCAGTGAGCACTCAGGGCTGATTTCCTTCAGAATGGATAGGTTTGATCTTCTTGCAGTCCATGGGACTCTCAAGAGTCTCCTCCAGCACCAGAATTCAAAAGCATCAATTCTTTGGCGGACAGCCTTCTTTGCGGTCCAGTTCTCACTTCCATACATCACTACTGGGAAAACCATAGCTTTAACTATATGGATCTTTGTTGTCAAGGTGATGTCTCTGCTTTTTAAGATGCTGTCTAGGTTTGTCATTGCTTTTCTCCCAAGAAGCAGGCGTCTTTTAATTTTGTGGCTGCTGTCACCATCTGCAGTGATCATGAAGCCCAAGAAAGTAAAATCTCTCACTGCCTCCATTTCTTCCCCTTCTATTTGCCAGGAGGTGATGGGACCAGTGTGTGAAATACCAAACCGTATCTGTAAAGAGGCACCCTAATTTCGATCCAGAGACCCATCTCTGCTTGGGGAAGGGCGCTACACTTGCACAGGAGGGTAATAGAAGCAAAGTCGACCCTTTAAAATGTTCCCATCCTCCTTCAATTCCATCGGAAAATTGTAGGTTGGAAGGGACCCCAGGGCCATCTAGCCCAACCCGCTACAACGAAGGAATCACAGCTCGATCCCCCAGAGAGACACTGCCAGTTAGTGAGAATGGTATTGCGCTAGATGTGGCCAGGGCGAGTAGGAAGACACCCCATTATTTGTGTGTGTGTCCAATTTGGAGAACACCAGGAAAGTGGGAGAGACACAAAAAGCCAAGGGTGTTTTCTTACCCTTGGTGTGTGATGAGGCCTCCCTGAAGAGTGGAACCATCTCACATTGAGAGGCCTCTGCAATATGAACACAACAAAATGTTCCTTCCCGTGTAACCAGAGCCCAGGGAAAAGAAAGCAACAGAAGACCTGAGCCTCCTGCAGACACGTTTCAAGTCCCAGGCAGGTAACCAAAGATTGCATTTGTCTCTTGGTGTGGAAAAGCAGGGGACGAGATACAGGAAAAAACCCAGTGTGTGTGTGTTCAAATCAGAGGTGGGGAACCTGTGGCCTTCTCGACCTCTCCTCACTGGTCCCCCTTTGGACCCAGAGCAGTTTTTGCCTGGCTGGGAAAGTGTCCTGGAAGTCAGAAGATCCCTCTCCAGATACAGAGAGAGGGGTGGGTGGGTGGGTGTAGGAATCAGCTGAAAGTACAAGGGTAAAGTTTTATTAATTGCTCTATTTTTGTACGTGGCCCTCAGAAAGTTGTCTAGGAGGAAATGTGGTCACTGACTGCGAGATCTTGTGAAGGCAGTATATAAATCAAATAATAATAGGTTAATAAAATAGTAATAAAAAGGTTCCTCTCGTCTGCTTCAAAAGACTCAAACGGCTTGAAATTCCTGTCCCCTCTTTCTGTTTGGACCAATTGTGTTATCATAATCTGTGCAGGTCCAGCTCTGAAGCAGCGATCTCTTGCCAAACCCTAGAGCAGCCTTTCTCAACCTTGGGCCCCCAGCTCTTATTGGAATACAACTCCCATCATCCATAGCTAGCAGGACCAGTGTTCATGGGTGATGGGAGTTGTAGTCCATCAACATCTGGGGACCCAAGGCCAAGAAACACTGCCCTAGAGGATTTGAGCTGAGGGTTTAAAAAACACCAGTCTAATTCTTGCAGTGATGGGATTCCAAGATTCCTCTTGCTTTTAAGATGATTCAGATGTTCCGGCATTCCGTCTCTGACCTTTAAAATATGTCCCAGGACTGGGTTTGGGCTTCCCCCACGCTCATCCAGATCCAAAAAGGCGTTTCCCAGCTCTCAAAAGCAGAAAGTGGAAAATTAGCAGCCGCAGATGGGCAGATTGGATCGCTTTAATCTCGGACCATTTTAAAGCCTGTTCCATTTCTTCCTAAATTCAGAGGGCCCTGACCCAACTAAAGGGAGTTGCAGCGAAGCCCTGCTGCAAACAAGGACCGCAGCTGGGTGGGTAGGACACCTGCTTGGCATGTAGAAGGTCTCGGGTTCAATCCCCAGCCCCTCCAGGTCAGGATTGGGAAGATGAATTTCTGAAACCCTGAGAGCAGCTACTACTCAGTGTAGACGACCCTGAGATACGGGACCCCTGTGCTAACTTAGTATAAGGTCCTGATCCGATGACCGGGCACCTGCTGTTTCTATGAAGGCAGGCCCTACCATTGGGCAGAATGAACAGCTGTAAGCTTAGCAGGGGACACAGTACGAAGGATGCCCCCAAGCTGCCTACTGCCCTCTGGTGGAGGGGAGGACCCATCACAGTGTTCAGTCACCAGCCTGGCCAGGGAGTTTTCATACATTGAATTGGGTGTGTGTGTGTGCACTCTCTTGACCTTTGGCCTCTGGTGGGAAAATATAGGTCAAAAGGTAGAGGTAAAGGACCCCTGGATGGCTAAGTCCAGTTAAAGGTGACTATGGGGTTGTGGTGCTCATCTCGCTTTCAGGCCGAGGGAGCCGGTGTTTGTCCACAGACAGCTTTCCGGGTTGTGTGGCCAGCAGGACTAAACCGCTCTGGCGTATGGAACACCGTGACGGAAACCAGAGCGCACGGAAACGCTGTTTACCTTCCCGCCGAAGTGGTACCTATTTATCTACTTACACTGGCGTGCTTTCAAACTGCTAGGTTGGCAGGAGCTGGGACCGAGCAACAGGAGCTCACCCCGTCACGGGGATTCGAACCGCCAACCTTCCGATCGGCAAGCCCAAGAGGCTCAGTGGTTTATACCACAGCGCCACCTGCGTCCCTTTGGGAAAATATATTGGGGGGCAGTCCCAGGGCAGGCTCATTAAGAGGCTCCCTGCCATCTGCAAACCCCAAGGGCTGATTTCTATGCTGAGTGCTTGAATGCAATGCAGGGGGTCAGACTAGATGACTCTAATGGACCCTTCCAACTCTATGATTCTTTCTGTGCCCCGGAGGCTCCTCTGGTGCACACCAGCGTCCCTCCCTATGAGTCACCGAGCTGATTCACAACATATTAAAAACAAGCCAAGCAGAAATTATACACTGTTTTAAGTGAGACCGGACAACAAGCGACCCCTAGTGTTCAGTAAAGGCACTGCAGGAGCAAAGTAAATAAAAAGTTGCCCACACCGATACAAGTTTAAATAAAGTTGCGGTTTCTTTAAAAATAGTTTTTTTTTTTATTGTCAACAACAACGGGAGAATTAATTCAGGTCACTTCTCGGACAACTAGCAGGAAAAATAAAACCCATAAAAGAGAAACCTTTCTATGGAGACTCTACAAGCTGGTTAAAGTTATACCCTGGACTTTTTTTTTAATTAATCCCTTGGAACAACAACAAAAAACAAACAAACTCCACAGTCATTCTATCTCCCCCTCCCCTCCAGGAAAAAAAAGCAAATTGAAAGAAACTGAGACAGAACCTTAAGAGTTAATGAGCTCGCATAGAATAAACGAAACTAAAAACCGTTGTCCAATGAGGCTCTTTTTTTTTGCTGTGCAAAATGTATTGTTGTGCATATTTCTATATATATATATATATATTTATATATTTTTTTCAAACGTTTATGCCTCTAGAGCAATGACAGTACTTGGGTTCATTCCAACCGCTTTAACCTATTTGGGGAGGGGGGGGCGGAAAGGGAGGGACAGTCCAGTGGATGTCCTAGCATAAGAAATGTCAAAAGCCACAGCTTGGGGTTCACCCCGTTTCCTTCCTTTGCACAAGAAAGCGTGCAAAACTGTGTTTTTGTTTTAATTTCCAACCCCAATCCTCCCACCCCCCAGAAACCCAGTGGGAAACGTGTGGCCGAGGTGTGGCAGAACCACTCCTGTCCACCAGAGGGGGCTGGACCACAATCAAACATACCATTCTTCTCGCGCCCCTTACAAACATACACAGACAAACACAAACCCCTAACCTCACCTTTCTACAAAAAATGTATGTTTCTGAAATGAAAAGGTGCTTGGAAATTCAGACTGCTTAACTCTCCCTCTTGCAACCTAGCCTTTTCTAAAAAGTAAAAAGGGGGGAGGAGTGTACCATAAAACATTTTTATTGTAGTTTTCAGCTGCCTAGGCAATGGGTTTTTAGGGGGGGGGAACAGAAGGGGTTTGCATCAGTTCAATAAATAAGACGTCTTTTTAAAAATATTCCCTTTTAAGGAATGAAGAATGAGGTTGGGGTGGGAAGAGATGTTCGCCATAAAGGAAACAAGATGGAATATTAGAAAAAAAATTGATTTATTTTTTAAAAAACGAAAGCTAGTCAGACACAGCTACACTGATTCAGAGTCCCCCCCGAGTATATGAAAGTTAATTAATTAGAATTCATCGTGATGTCATTAAGGCGGGAAAGGCTTTGGAATTTGGGCGTTAGTTTGCACTCTGGTGTTCACAGAAGAAAAATACTTTTTTTTTTTAGAAAAAGCAAACTCAAAAATGCTTCAAGTTCATTTCTCCCTTGATTTTTTAAAAAGTACTACAACCTAATTGCAGAAATAATAATATTACTAATGAAATAAGACCAGACACAAGAGACCAGTGACTAACCATTGAGGCGAGATCTCAAGAAATTATAATTTGTGAGTTAGAGGGGGGGAAGGGCTATAAGTCACTTGTTAGCCCTAAACAGAGTAGACCCCTAGAAATTCATCCGTGTTGACTAGTTTAGGTCCATTAATATCAAGAGGGTCTGAACAAGGACTTGGGTGGGCGCCAACCATGCTGTCCTAACGCAAAGAGAAAATGAATGGACATTACCCTAACTTTGGCCTGAAGATACTCTAGCAGATGGGAAACATGGGTTACTACTTAAAGCAAAAAAATGACTTTTTGGGTGGTTTTTTCCCCAAATGACTGCAAAACCTTCCACGATCCAATCTTCCAACCTCGCCATTCCCCCTTTCCAGACTACATACATACACGTATCCACCTTTAACGGCCTGATTCATTCAGAAGGGGTTTTCGTTTTAAATACAGATCAAACTTTGTAGAAAACAACAACCACCACCCTCAGTGAATGCTCCCGCTGGCCAACCCCAAAGCACTCAAAGGTGGGCAGAAAGATGACAATAGATGCAACCGTTTCATCCAAAAGCCCCAGGAAAATATGCTTGGGCAGGCAGAGGCCAACTCGGCCCTCCCGATGTTTTGGGACTACAACTCCCATCATCCGTAGCTATCAGGACCAGCGGTCAGGGATGATGGGAGTTGTAGTCCCAAAACAGCTGGAGGGCCAAGTTTGCCTATGCCTGTACTTGGGAGATATTTTAGGGGGTGGAAAAGAACATGTACACACACACACACACACACACACAGCCCACACGTGTGACGAGCAAAGAAAATTTGGCTACTTCCCAGCTAGGCAGCGATGCCTTTCATTTTAACTATGTGCGTTATGGAGCTGTGAGCACAACTCAAGGCGGCCTTCCTTCAAAGAGTTTCTTGTCGTTTAGCAAAGGATGCTTCAGGCATCGAAAATTACCTGGGGTGGTCTCTCTCTCTCTCTCTCTCCAGGTGTTTCCACTGAAGAGGCCCTGGCTTGGCCACCCACGCCCTAGGCAGGCTAGACCCCCCAGGAACAAGCACCCAAATTGTTTACCCCCTGAAATAAAGGGAGGAATGTCCGCGGCCCTCGACTCCCCGTCAGCTGGCACAACCGAGGGCCAGAGGGTTATGGTGGCTGGAGGGATGCAGGCTCTCCATCCATCTCCTGACCCTGGAGTGATATCTTTTGGCCTCGCAGGTGCCGTTGAACTGCAACTCCCATCACTGCCCCTGATGGGAGTTGTAGTTCGGCCATGTCCAGAAAGCCAAAGGCTCCTCATTTTTGCACAGGCCTTTGCCTCTTCCATCGGAGTGGAGAACTGCAGACAGGGAGTCCCGCGCCCCAATAATTCATCTGCTATTGCCCCCCACTCCAGTCTTCTGCTAGCTCCACGCAGCCACCCCTGACCGGGGGAAAATACCCCATCCGCTCTGAAATCCGTGAAGATTTGAAATTGCCAGTGGACACCACTGTAGCGAAGGGGACAGGTAGGGCAGAGCCTTTGTCCCACATGGAAGAGGACCCTCCCCACAAAATCGCACTCCCCTTTCATACGAGGCAGCCGAGCCCTCAACAGGCTGAGCCCGGCGGTCTGTATGGGCACAATCCTTTTTGCCCCATCCTCTAAACAAAGCCATGCAGACAACCACCCCTTTCCCATTAAGGCAGCGCAAAGGAGCTAAGAAAACTACCCGAGTTTTGTTTTGTCTTTTGCCCAGTCGTTCTGATTTTTTTAAGTACACTTGCATTATCCCTCTTGGTCCTACCCTGGCAGCTTTGGAGTGGAAAAAGAATTGCATAGTTTCGGAGACTCGTCAGCGAGTCAGATGTACCTCCCCACCGGACCTCGGCTCTTGCCCACTTTACGGCCCCCCGTTCTTCGCTTTTCACGGGCTCCCGCTCAAACCCGTGTCAGGCGGAGGTTTCCAAGGCCGTTCCCTACCCTGGGGAAATAAACATTCGCATTGCAGCAGCGACGGTAGGTGTAGCGGGGGGAAGGAATTTTCTAAAAACGCCATAGATTTACAGGGGCTTGGGGGAAGGGCAGGATTTGTGGGGAAACGGGGGGGGTCATTTCCCTCCCCCGCCCCCCAAAACGAGAAAAATATAGTGTATAGTTAGTTTTCTGTTTTTACATCCCTCCCGCCCGCTACCCACCCCTCCCCTCTAACACAAATGTAGAGCCCTGTTAAAAATATATATGTATAATTCTTTAGTATTTTTACTCGTCATTCCCACAGTCAAAGTATCGGCTCGGCAAAAGAGAGCCAGATTATTTCTACTCAGCAGAACAGAGGTAGTCTAGGAGAAAAACAAAACGAAAGAAAACAAAATAGCTCGTGAGGGAAGGGAGTGATTCTCTGCAGGTAAGAGAATTTGTACACTCACGTGTAACCGGCATTGCAGAGGGGCCGTGGAAATCGAACCACAGTGATGCCCACATAACTCTCTTTTGCCCCATCTCCCCCGGTTTTCAAGTTGTTTGCAGAGGTTTATTGCTCTTAACAAAGTCCCCACCAATTCAAGTTCTGGTTTCTATTCCCACCCCATTCCCCCAAAGTAGGTATGACCAAGAACAGGCTTGGGTTTTGTTTTTTTTTGCTTTTTTGCACAGTAAAAAACTCTCTCTCAATCACACACACACACACACTCAGTATTGCGACTTGATGGTTCCCTCCCTCCGCCCACCCCACCCGCAGCTCCCTACAAGAGAGGGTCCTTTTTTGTTTTGTTTTAATAAAAAATATATCTTTTTAAAAAGAATATCTCAAGCCCAACTCATCTAAAAAGGCTTCGAAGCTAGCTGCGACAGACCGGAGAGGATTGCGGGAAGGAGAGGGGCAGAATCTGGACATGGCATAGGTTAACAGGAGTGTTGAGACTCAAGAGAAAGGGGAAAAGATCCTTTTTCCGACTTAAAAAAAAGCCATGTTTTAAGGGGTGGGAGAAAAACCTAAAAATGTTTAAATAAAAAAATCAAAAAAGCTGGTTAATATTACTTAATAAAAAGAGGAAAAAAAGATTTCAAACTTGGGGGGAAATGTAGGGATGGCGGGTTTAATCCCTTTGAAATGAAAAAAGGAAAATCACGTCTGGGGCAGATAGAGAGAAAGGCCCCCCCCCTTTCAAAACCATGTATGTTTTACCCTTGGAATTCAAAGCTTTGGTCTAGAAGATCTGTTCGGTTTGACGGCTTCCGACCTGCAAAACTCAAACCTTCCCGATTCCTCCAACCCTTTGCCAATCCCCTCTGCTCTCCAACAGCATTCGCTGCCCTCTCTCCACGCTCCCCCCCCGGAAGCGAGGGGGGGGTCTCGCCTTCCACCCCACGCCCCCCACCAGCAGCTTGCCGCCCCCTCTGACACCAGCCAGCCCTTCTCCTCGACGAGGCGGGGAGGGAGGGGCGCGAGGGGAAGGGATGACGCGTTATTGCATTGCCCACGGATCGCGTGGGTCCGGGGGGCCAGGAAGTCCAGTGCCCGGCCCTTCAGAACCTGTGTATCAAGGCCTCCCTTTCCTTTCGCTTCAGCTCCTCCTTGTAGCAGCAGGAGCAGTAGTTCCCGGTCTCCGGGTGCCCGTAAAAGCTGCAGTTCGGCTGTTTGCATTTCGTCTGCTGGAGGTTGTAGAGCAGCCGGGCTTTGCTGCGCTCGCCGCCTTTTGGAGAGCAGCCGCCCGCCTCCGTGTACTCCCGGAAGCCGTTGGCGGGCAGGCCCGGGCAGGGAGAAGGGGTCGCAGTCTGCCCCCACGTAGCCGGGGGGCGTGTCCGTCTCGGTGGGAGAGAAGCGCCCGCCCAGGTGGGAAGGGCTGGTCTGGTACGGGTGAGGGCGGCCCGGCGGGCAGTGCCTGGGCAAGGTGGCATAGGGCGGCAGGGGGCTGCAGGGTCCGCCGGCAAGCTGCCTCCGGCTCTCTTGGTAGCTGGGCGGGTGGGAGCCCTCCACGCCACCCGTCATGGATGGGCGAGGGATGGTGAAGACCCCTGAGTAGCTGGAGGGGAAGCCGGCCATCTTAGCCCCCACGGCGGCCAGGTCAGGGCTCTGGAGCCCGTATGGAGGGAGCCCTGGAGGGTACGCCGTGCCCAGCAAGCCCTCCTCGCCTTTGAGGGGGTTGCCGTCCGAGTCCGGCCTCTTGGCCGCCGTCCCGCCGCTGCCTAGCACCGCGGCTGCCTTCCTCTCCGCCTCCTTCTGCTTCTGCTCCGCCGAAAAGCGCTCCTCGGCATCCGAGAGGTACCGCTGGATCATCTCCTCCTGGAACGGGTGCCGGTGGCTGGTCTTGAGCTGCCCGGCGAAGATGAACTTCCGCTCCCCTTGCATGGCGGCCCGCAGGATGCTCAAACTCAGCCGGACGTCGCTGCTGTACTTGCAGCCGTCCGGCGGCTTCTCGGCAGCCGCCTTGCCCGCGGCGCAGGGCTTCTCTGGCGGAGTGGCTGAGTCGCTGGACAGCGCCTCGTCCTTGCTGCCCTTCCTCACCTTGACAGAGCCCTTCTTCTTCTTCTTCTCCAGGGTCTCGCCCCCTTGCCCGTTGCTGACGCCCCCCTTGACCGTCCGGCTGTGCATCAGGCCCCCCATGTTCTTCTTCAGCTTGCTACCCAGCGTCTTGCCAAAGCTGCCGAGCTTGTTGGCCACCGAATCAGCCCGCTTCTTCTCCTTGTCCTTCTCCCGCTCCTTCTTGGTCTTCTCCTTCTCTTTGCTGCTGCTCTTACTGCCTCCGCTGTTGCTGGCAGAGCTGCTGCAGACAGACTCCTTGTCCGAGTCGCCCGAGTCGGCCGCAGACCGGGCATCGTCCCCTGCGGAAGCAGTTGGCGACTCGGGCTGCGCGAGAGGCGCCTAGGGGAAAGTGGGGCAGGAGAGAGAGAGAGAGAGAGAGAGAGAGGCAGACTTAGCAAGGGTCTGCTTTGCCCTCTTTTGGGGGATGGTCTTCTGTTAGCCCTTGGTGACCCGGAAACTACAACTAATCCAGAACGCGGCAGCCAGACTGGTGACTGGGAGCGGCCGCCAGGGCCGTATAACACCGGTCTTGAAAGGCCTACATTGGCTCCCAGTACATTTCCAAGCACAATTCAAAGTGTTGGTGCTGACCTTGAAAGCCCTAAACAGCCTCGGTCCAGTATACCTGAAGGAGCGTCTCCACCCCCATCGTTCTACCCGGACACTGAGCTCCAGCTCCAAGGGCCTTCTGGCGGTTCCCTCACTGCGAGAAGCCAAGTTACAGGGAACCAGGCAGAGGGCCTTCTCGGTGGTGGCACCTGCCCTGTGGAACGCCCTCCCACCAGATGTCAAAGAGAACAACAACTACCAGACTCTTAGAAGACATCTGAAGGCAGCCCTCTTTAGGGAAGCTTTTAATGTTTGATGTATTACATTATTTTAATTTTTTTTGGGAAGCCGCCCAGAGTGGCTGAAGGAGCCCAGCCAGATGGGCAGGGTATAAATAATAAAATTATTATTATTATTATTATTATTATTATTATTATTATTATTAGGTTCCCTCCACGCCAGAGCAGAACAGGAATCGGTTTATAGGACACCTGCCCGCCTCGGAAACTGGAAGGAGGTTTCCCTTACCTGCATTTCGCAAGGCAACGTGATCCACTTTACATTCATGTAGCTGTGCAGTAGGTGCAGCTTGGCTTCCAGCGAGAGCGTCACACTAGACGAAAACAACGGGGGAAGACGCGAGGCAGAGTCAAAAGTCAGATCTGGAAGACTCCCTGTAGACCTAACTTTCTCCCACAAGTTGAAACCATGGCGCTCAGAAACCATGAAGCGGGAGACCTTCCGGGCCGGAGTTAAATTCCAGATTCCAAGATGGCTGTCTCTCCTTCCTCAAAAAGGCAGCCACTCTCCTCGCCTGCCACCTCCCTCCCCCTCCACCGATAAATCCCACCCAGCACAAGCTCACCCCTTAAGAACGTAGGCCCTGCTGGATGAGACCCTGGATGAGACCACGCCTTCCCCAGACGGTGTTGTCTGAGTCCTTCCGCCCTCCCGAGCGGCTCCCCTTTGTTGTCCCCAAACCGACCCCTTCCCACTCACCTGGCCAGCCGGACATTGTCGTTGTCGTCCTTACCCCACTCCCAGTCTTTCCCAGGATCCACAGCAAAGTGCACTGGGAGCAGCTTGTGCTCGGAGTCAGTGAGCGGGATCACAGCTGTGGAGGAAAAAAGGAACAGCTCTTTCAGAGGCCGGGAAAGGCAAGAGCCTGGAGGCTGCAGGAAAGCAAAGGCTGAGAAGCTCACCCCTTTCAGAAGCAGACCCAGCACCATCCAGCTCGAGGGAGACTCGGGTTCAAAGGAGGTTGGCAGGGGCTGGGATGGAGTTACTGACTCGGCTGAGGTTAGTTGTGCTTTTGGGACTGTGTGGGTCCCCAGATGTTGCTGGACTACAACTCCCATCATTCCTTAGCCAGCATGACCAGTGGTCAGGGACGATGGGAGTTGTAGTCCAACGACATCTGGGGACCCACAGGTTGAGAACCGCTGGTTTAGAGGAAAGGAAGGTAGGAGGCAACATGATAGGAGTTGCTAAAATAACTTGCTGGAGAAGTGATTTCCTATCACTCTCATCAAACTTGAGACTTGATGGCAAATGGTGGCCATCTTCCTGTGGCAGTGAGTTCCACAGCTTAACTCTGTGCTGCGTGGGAAAATCTCTCAACATTCAGCTTCACTGGATGTCCACGACTTCCACTGCCGTGCAAGAGGGAGGGAGACTTTTATCCTTCCGCCTTCTCAGCCGGGCATAAGCTTAGAAGCGCTGCTCCTCTGCACGTACCTTGTTCCTTGGGAGGTTCTTTCTGCTCCATGGATACCAGGGCAGAGAAGTGGGCCTGGTCGTAGGCTAGGACCAGGGGAGAGCGGTGGCACTTGTTGGCGGGGACCTCCAAGGGCAGATAAATGCCGCCAAAGGGGATGGGAGCGAATGCTGAGAGAGAGAGAGAGAGAGAGAGAGAGAGAAGTGAGAAGGAACTGAGCACCCTGCTGATGATACAGAAATACCCCTCAGTTGTGAGCTGCAAGAGTTAACTTTCAATCCACTGGCGGGAACTCAAAGCAACCCTTGGCAGCAGCATCTGCCCAATGTCCCTCTGCACGAGTGCCTGCTCTGGGCCTTGCCTCCTTCCAAGATGGGATTGTACGGGACGCAACTGGAGCCGTCCCCTCACTCCCGATCTGGTTTGACCCTCACCCCCGTGGAAGAAGTTGCCCGCCGCCCAGCCTCCCTCTTCAGTGGAGCGAGGGGATGTCTGCCACTGCTCCTACCTTCCCCTCCAGAGTCTCGCAGCATGGTGTCCGCCACCACCACGATGGGCCTCTTGAGCACGTGGGCCAGGACGAAGACGTGGAACTCTTCCAGGCTCTCGTACACGGGCTCCTCGGAGCCTTCCACACTGCAGGGTAGCAGGGGAGAAAGGGGAGCACTGTCAGACGTTTTGACTCGGGAGTGTTTGGCAGCACCCATAAATGCAAACAGTTTCAGCTGGGGGAAATGGGGAGCGAAGACCAGAAAGGGGGCAGCACGGATTGGAGAGCCTCAGCATGGCCAACGGCCAGGGGAAATGATGGGAGCTGGACCACAGGGACGTCTGAGAGAGGCCACAGGCACCCTCAACCTCTACTCTAAACAAGCAGCCTCCGAAGCGCTGTTCTGCTCATTAACTTATTTATGTGATAAAATTTACACAGTGCTTGATTGTAACAGCCCTCAGAGCGGTTTACAAAAAAGGAATAAAGCAAAATGATCGCTAAGAACAATTAAAAACAACAATTTCAAGTCTTTTGAAAAGTTTAAATTGTTATTGCAGAGCAGATGAAGACTCACATCCGGTTTCTGAACACCTGAGCAGGCTTGTCTAAAGAAAAATGTTCTCGGCAGATGCTGAAAAGTGTACAGTGAAAAAACCTGCCTGATATCAACAGGCAGGGAGTTCCAAAGTGTAGGTGATCTGATCAGATTTTAGGGACCAGATGCCAGACCAACGCATTTCAAACATCCTGTTTAGAGCAGTGTTCCGCAAAGTTGGATCTCCAGCTGTTGTTGGACTCCAACCCCCATCATCCCTGCCCAGTGGTCCTGCTAGCTAGGGATGATGGGAGTTGTAGTCCAACAACTGGAGACCTAAGTGTGAGAAACACTGATTTTGAGTTTGCCTCCACTGCTGTCCAGCCTGTATGGCTGTAAACCATGGACATGAGGAAGCAGGTGGACTTCCAGATGTTGTTGCCGGACTCCAACTCCCATCATCCTCCCCAACCTGAGCCATGCAGGGCTCTCAAAAGGTCATCACCCACCCTCACAACGGTTGTCCATCGAGTTCCCACTGTCAGTTTGCATTTCTTCTTTTTTCCACTGCTGCAACCGGATTTCTTATAGACAGTGCCCAATCCTGAATGTATTGGATTTGTGACCATTAAGCTCATTTGCCTTCAGTAGCAGTAATGCTCTGCTGGATGAAATACAATTGCCTCTGATCTATTTTTTGGGGGGGGGAGATCCTGCAACGTGTTTTAAGTTTCTACTCTGCTAACTATACGTTGGAATCTACTCTGGATCATTATTGAGTAGGATTTCATGGCATCCACTCCCACGTTAATGTGGCTCTTGCAAGACAGACACATTCCTGCTCTAGCAGGAGAGCGCAGCTATTGTATACCCTTGACCGAAGAAGGGTACACTCCTATCTGGGATGGTCGTCCTCTTCCACCGAGCGCGCAGCTTCGGAAGGGACACACATGGAGCAGTGAGGGAAGAAGGGGACACCCGCCTAGCCAGCCAGAACAGCCGAATCAACCCTGGCGATCAATGGGGTGACTGATGTCGCAGCCAGATCGCCCTCACATCCATTCCTGCTCGGAATTTAATCTCAATTATTTACAATTTTTGTTTCATCCGCAAGAAAGAAGGGCTTTTTCGCTGGCTAGGTTCAATTCTAATCCTTCTAACCTCCTTTGGGGTAGGTTTGTGGGTTTGGCAGGAGATCGGATCTGCCCATGCCAGAGCGGTACCTATTTATCTACTTGCACTTTGACGTGCTTTCGAACTGCTAGGTTGGCAGGAGCAGGGACCGAGCAACGGGAGCTCACCCCGTCGTGGGGATTCGAACCGCCGACCTTCTGATTGGCAAGTCCTAGGCTCTGTGGTTTAACCCACAGCGCCACCTGCTTATGTGATGCCAATAAAGGTTACTTGACTTGACTTGACTTGACATTCCTGCTCCTGCATTATGGACCACCTGAAGTTTCTGGGGAGCCTTCAAGGGCAGAGCCCAGTGTAACAATCTTGGGTGTGATCTGTGGGGAGCAGGGAAATACCACTCACCCTCCGCAGCTCCCCCCATTCGTGCCGTAGTGCATGCGTGGCTCGCTGGAAGCCAGCTTGATCAGCTCGTTCCACTCCTTTTGCCATTCCTCTTCTGTGTAAACAAGGCCGGACTAAGGTGGCGGGAAAACAAGCAGGAAGAGAGGGAAAACAAATATGTAAATCAAGGCTTCTCGCCACACTGCAAGGATACTTTCAAGATGTTTGCAGGGCATGGGGCGTTCCTGGAGGTTAACCGTCCCGGGCTTCATGAATGCTCAGAGAGGATCCAGCGCTAAAGCTAGCCTGGTGTGGACATAACCGGCGCTTGGAAAATGAGGTACAACTTAGGTTAGCCTTTATCGGCAAGGCTACCGTCACGTACGCCTGCCCACAAAACTGGTAAGAGCCAGTTAAGGGGGAATGTTAAGAGTTAAAAACCAGGTGAGGTACAAGGAGGGCTCTGCACGTCCAGTAAAAAATAATAATAATGGATTGAGTAAGTGTTTCAAGAGTCCCATGGAGTGCAAGAAGATCAAACCTCTCCATTCTTAAGGAAATAAGTCCTGAGTGCTCACTGGAAGGACAGATCCTGAAGCTGAGGCTCCAAGACTTTGGCCACCTCATGAGAAGAGAAGACTCCCTGGAAAAGACCCTGATGTTGGGAAAGATGGAGGGCACAAGGAGAAGGGGACGACAGAGGACGAGATGGTGGGACAGTGTTCTTGAAGCTACCAGCATGAGTTTGACCAAACTGCGGGAGGCGGTGGAAGACAGGAGTGCCTGGCGTGCTCTGGTCCATGGGGTCACAAAGAGTCGGACACGACTAAACGACTAAACAACAACAACAAATGGTTTCAAAGGACTGTGTTTGGGTGAGATATGGTGGGGTGACGGGGTGGCAAGTGGTGGTTGTGGGGAGGGAAAGTAGCTCAGATGACGTGCATTTTGCCTGCGTAGCGTGTGTTATAATGGAAATATAGTCGTACCTTGTATCCCGAACGCCGCAAACCCAGAAGTGAGTGTTCTGGTTTGTGAAACGTTCTTTGGAACCCGAATGTCTGATGCGGCTTCTGATTGGCTGCAGGAGCTTCCTGCAGCCAATCAGAAGCCACAGCCTTGGTTTCCGAACGTTTTGGAAGTCGAACGGGCTTCCGGAACGGATTCCGTTTGGCTTCCGAGGTACAGTGGTGCCTCGCAAGACGAAATTAATCCGTTCCGCGAGTCTCTTCGTCTTGCGGTTTTTTCGTCTTGCGAAGCACGGCTATTAACAGCTTAGCGGCTATTAACGGCTTAGCGGCTTTAAGAAAAAGGAAACAAACTCGCAAGAACTCGCAAGACGTTTCGTCTTGCGAAACAAGCCCATAGGGAAATTCGTCTTGCGGAATGACTCAAAAACGGAAAACTCTTTCGTCTAGCGAGTTTTTCGTCTTGCAAGGCATTCGTCTTGCGGGGCACCACTGTACAACTGTACTCTTGCAGACTCTCTGGACTCTGGCCTGTAACGTGTTGCTGAATAGAGTCTGGCCGACTGGGGATTCGATGCAAACCTCTGTCCTGAACCACCCCCACCCCCAGGGAACTTTCTCCCACAATAAGGAAGACATAAAAAACCGCTTGGGATTTGTGGGCATCCCTATGTTCCAAGAGATCCTGGGCTGAGCCTCAGCCCCAAGGAAGTGCTGGGTGCCAGTGGAGGCTGGTCATAAGGAAACCCCAAGGGCCCTGCAGGATCAGGCCTCACCTCTTTGTTCTGCTGCGTCTGCTGCCACCTCCACCGCCGCTTGAGGGCCTCCCTTTCCACCCCTTTGTCCATGAGGGCGTAGAGGGCTTTGCGGAGCATCAGATCCCGGTCGTGAAAACCCCACATGCCTACAGGGAGGAAAAAGAGATTTTTTAAAAACCAAACAAGTGGTACTTAAGCCTTCTATTCATTAATTCCACCCACCCCTTGCCTTCCATGAGGATAAATACCCCCCCCCCAAAAAAAAGCATTACGGAACAATAATGCTGGAAATGTTTAATGCAACTATTCTTTACCTGGAATTTTAATATTTTAGCCCACATGCAACGGCACTCATTCCACCTGCCTATTTCATAGTTATGTTTGCCATCTTTTATAATTTTCATCTGTTGCTATAATTGTTCTCTCCGTTTCATATGCGTTATAAGATGGGGGGGGGAATCTTTTACCCTCCAAAATTGCGGAAAATGTTAGCTGTCAATCATAATGCTCTCTTTTGAATATATGTAGATTTATATTTATTCATTGTCCCCCACCCCCCCAAAAAAAGGATGTCTCAAGACTTGTAAATTCATAAAATACAAATAGGTGGACAAATGTAACAGCACATTATTTCCCCAAAGCATTAAGCACGAACAATACTGGGATGTGAATACCACAATACTGTGTGGAATCTACACACATATAAAAAATGCTGTGAAAATGCTTAAAAAAAAAAAAAAGTTTTGAAAAATGCAATGAATTTTGCATAGCTCACTGCCGCCATCTAGTATCACATTTGCATACTGCACTTTACAGCACATGTAAAATGTTTTATTTGCAGCTGAGTCCCTGGAAAACGTTCATTTTCTCTATTATGATGGCAAACATCCCTCAGCAACATTACAACGATACTGGAAGTGTTGATTGTCAGTCATATACTATGCCCTGGGATATAGGTATGATAGCCTACTTATACATATACAGCGTGTAACGTAAATAAATATTTGCATGTACACACACACACATGCACGCACATTCTTACATGTAGATATAAACATTTATAGATATGGTAACACACACAGTTAAGCTGTGTATTAGGAGATCTGAATTGGCCTCTCGATACCTCATTCTATGCCAGGAGTCAGCGACCTTTAGAATTTTGAGGAAGGCGCTGTGGGCGCCGGGCACAAAATGGCCGCCGAGAGGGCGTGGCATTGCACAAATGGCTGCTGCATGGCGTGTGCAAGCGAGGCTCAGCCTGGGCAGATGAGATTTAAGCAGGAAGAGCCTCGTGTGCATCGTGGATTGCTTTGCGGGGGATATTTACTGAAATATTTTGTGGGCTCTGTGGAAGGCTCAAGGACGCTGTGTCCCATTGCACTGGCTTTTAAAATGCATTGCATTGGTGGCAGGGAGGTCTTACCGAGCGATGCAGCGTGGAGCAGGCAGTTCCCATCACCCGTCGTGGCTAAGGGGAGCAACCGCTGGCAGCTGGGATCGACATTGGCCCACCAGTTCAGACGACCTGGTCAAAAAGGAGAACAAACAGGAAGCAGTTATTTTGTGCTTTTCGAGGTTCTGGGCATTTTCAAGCCCAGTCTCTCTCTTTCTACAAGCCTCGCGCCAACATCGGCCACAGTTCACTAGACATTTGACGCACCAGGAGACCAGTTTTTTGTTTCGTTTGTTTCATAAAATTCACAAAAATCCTCAAAGCGATTTACAAGAGATAAGGCAGTAAAATCAAGAAAGGTAAACGTCTGAGGAGCACCAAACCCCATCGGTGGATGGAACAGCAGAAGAGATGAAACCACATCTGCGAGGAAGCCAGAACAGTTGTGGACCTGCAAAAAGGGTTCCAGAGATTGCACCCCCTTTATTGCCACTCAGAGGGCAAAATGTCTGCACAGTATTTGGAGGCGGGGAGTTGGAGCAGGCCCACATCCCTGCCTTCCCGAGGAATAACAGCAGGTTATGTCAGAGGACGGCACACCTTGCGGAAATATTCTGCCTCGCAGGGCCTCTCAAACGTCCCCGGGGGAGAAGGAACGAGGGAGCAGCCTGAACGTGTCTCCAGGCTGGTCAGGGCCTGGCTTGGCTGAAGATCGGTTTTTCCTGATATACCTCTTTAAAACGACAACAACCTACAATTAAACCTGAAAGGAGGGGTTTCAGTGGATGCTAATAAGGCAAACGTGAGGAAAGTGTGACCCGAGAGCCACAGGAGGGGTGACAAAGTAGGTTTTGTGGTCCAATTTCCCAACATCCCCCCCCCCGCCCCCCAAATTCAAAGTGTCAGCTATCTGCAAGGAGGGATCGGGACAATTTATTTATTTATAACAATGGACTGTTTTTCCCTTCAATTCAGGTAAGACTCTCCGGCTGCAATTCTGCAATATATGATAGGATATAAATATATTTATGAATTAAGAGCCAGTGTGGTATTGGACTAGGATCTGGGAGATCACGGTTCGAATCCCCACTCAGCCATGAAGCTCACGGGGTGTGATTTTGGGGGCTAGTCATCACCTCTCAGCCTACTTCACAGGACTGTTGTTAGGCTAAAGTGGGGAGCAGGAGGAGAACCAGCCACACCACACTGGGAGGAAAAAGTGCTATATAAATGTAATCAAAAAATAATAAAAGGTAAAGGTGAAGGTGAAGGACGCCTGGATGGTTAAGTCCAGTCAAAGGTGACTATGGGGTTGCGGAGCTCATCTCGCTTTCAGGCGAGGGAGCCAGCGTTTGTCCACAGACAGCTTTCCAGGTCATGTGGCCAGCATGTCTAAACCGCTGCTGGCACACGGAAGACCGTGACGAGTGCCAGAATGCAAGGAAATGCTGTTTACCTTCCCGCCACAGCAGTACCTATTTATCTACTTGCACTGGTGTGCTTTCGAACTGCTAGGTTGGCAGGAGCTGGGACAGAGCAATGGGAGCTCCCTCCGTCGCGGGGATTCAAACTGCCGACCTTCTGATCAGCAAGCCCAAGAGGCTCAGTGATTTAGACCACAGTGCCACCCGGTATTGGATTTGTGACCATTATGCTTATTTGCCTTCAGTAGCAGTAAATCTCTGCTGGATGAAATCCAATTGCCTCTGGTCTATTTATTGGGAATCCTGCAACGTGTTGAAGTTTTTACTCTGCTAACTATATGCTGGAGTTCTGCTCTGGATCAATATTGAGTAGAATTCCAATGACAGGCATCACCTCATCACTACTGTGGCCAGGCCAGCTGGGCAATCCTTCCCCATGCTCTAGCGCTGGGCCTGGTCTTCAGAGGGGAAAGGGCACCCAGGGAAGTTTACGTCCTGGTCAACCGCCACCCAAGAAAACAGACGTGGCGGCGTTGACGTCACGGGTGCTTACCAGCCTGCTCCAGCGCCACCAGCATCGACTGCTCGATGAGATCGCGCTCGATGAAGCACCGGAACTCCTCGTTGTAGACGGTCAGGTCGGGAAGCTGGAAGGTGCAGATGGGCATCTCTGGGAGGTGCTCCCCGCTGCCGCCGATCCCCCCGCCGCTGCCCCCACCCCCGTTGCTGGAGACGTGAGAGCGAGCCATGGAGACGATGGTGGAGCTGGCATGAGAGATGCCGCGAGACAGGCGCTTCTCTGAAAAGAGAAAGGGGAGCCATTATTTTGTCAGCACAGGCTTTCCGAACGCAACACATTCCCAGAAAACCATTTGCTAGGACAAGCCTTCACACAGACAGACAGCGGTCTCCATTAACCCTTGTGGGACCATTTCTAATTGAGGATTTGCTCGATCTCTGCCCTGCCCCCAGATGCTCCCTCCATGGTTTCTTCCCAAAATGGCTGCAGCCAACCAGCAAAACGAGAAATGAAGCAAAACTGATTTGTCCGATCTCTCTCCCTCCCTGTGTGGTTCATGCCTGAAAATGGCTGCCACCGACCAGCCAACTCCAAGGAAGGAAGGAAGGAAGGAAGGAAGGAAGGGGACCAGCTCCGGCCGTTTGGATATTTGAATCTGTGTTGTGCATAGTATTATGATGTACTAAATTTATTCCCCACCCTCCACGTGGGCAGAAGAATTTACGGCAGTTTAAAATTAAATATTAGAAAGAGTTTAAGACAGTCATGGGAATAGGTCTGGGTCCTGAAAACATACGTATCTCAGGCGCCAAAGGCCAGGATAAACAGGAGCATACGACAGAAACGATGTTAGCGAAGGAAGGGTAAAAGACAGGACTGCATGGTTAAACTACAGACCGGACTCCTCCCAGAGGAGGCAGCGATGAGCACCATCTTAAAGGTAAAGGTAAAGGGACCCCTGACCATTAGGTCCAGTCGTGGCTGACTTTGGGGTTGCGGCGCTCATCTCGCTTTACTGGCCGAGGGAGCCGGTGTACAGCTTCCGGGTCATGTGGCCAGCATGTCTAAACTGCTTCTGGAGAACCACAGCAGCGCACGGAAATGCTCTTTACCTTCCCGCCAGAGCAGTACCTATTTATCTACTTGCACTTGGACGTGCTTTCGAACTGCTAGGTGGGCAGGAGCAGGGACCGAGCAACGGGAGCTCACCCTGTTGCGGGGATTCGAACCGCCGACCTTCTGATCGGCAAGTCCTAGGCTCTGTGGTTTAACCCACAGCGCCACCCGCGTCCGGGGCACCATCTTAGATGTCTTTAAAAGAGGACTGGACAAACTTGTGGACGATGAGCCTATTAATGGCTCTGCTTTGCCTCCACGGTCAGAGGCAGCAATGTTCCTGAATACTAGTTGCTGGAAACTGCAAGGAGGAGAGAGGTCTCTTGTGCTCAAATCCTGCTTGCACATTTCGCCCCCCCAGGCTGGCCACTGTGGGAAGAGGATGCTAGACAAGACCCACCACACTTCTAGTTTTTTTCAGCACCGCAAAGCCACAAACAGCTGGCTTATTCGCAAGTGGAGTCACTGCTGGAGCCGGACTCTTGGGTCCATCAAGCTCAGGACTGTCAACTCTGACTGGCAGTCACTGAGGACTGAATCGGGAACTTTCTGCAACCATGCTGCCACTCTCTACGCACTGAACAGCAGCTCTTCATCAGAACCGCAGCAGAGGACGAGGGGCTTAAGAGGACAGGGGCCACGCCTCCCCTGTGAAGCAAACATCCACGATTGAGGCCGCCGCCTCCTACCTTGCACAATGTCATCCTGGCGCTGGAGTGGGGGCCGCGGGGGCCACGCCACGTCCTTTTCCACGTGCTTGAAGGCCCGGCCTTCGTTGAAGGAATGGGGAAGGTTCCCGGCGTGCACCTGCCGGAGCTGCTCAAAGTCACTCAGGGCGGCGCTCAGGTCCCAGTTTTTCCCTGCGCCAGAGGAAAGAGAAGAGAGAGGGTTCGGAGAATGAAAGCCACCAAACTAACACCAAGCAGAGGTCCCCTCACCTCTCTGAATCACAGATCCTAGAATCACAGAACTGCAGAGGCAGAAGATGCCCCCCCAGGTCATCTAGTCCAACCCCCTGCAATGTAGGAATCACCGTTCAAGAATCCCCGACAGAGGGCCATCTAACCTCTGTTGAAAAACCTCCAATGAAGGAGAGCTCTCCGCCAATAATAATAATAATAATAATAATAATAATAATAATAATTTATTTATACCCCACCAATTGGGCTGGGTTTCCCCAGCCACTCTGGGCGGCTTCCAACAGAATATTAAAATACAATAGTCTGTTAAACATTAAAAGCTTCCCTAAACAGGGCTGCCTTCAGAAAGAGCATCTGCTCTCAGAAAGTTCTTCCTTCCTAATGTTCAGCTGGAATCTCCGTTCTTACAATTTGAATCCATTGGTTTGGGTCCTCCCCTCTGGAGCAGCAGGACATGAGCTTACTCCACCTTCCACGATGACGGCCCTTCAGATGTCCGAAGGCGGCCATCCCATCACCTCAACGATGCTTGTCAAATCCCCCTCTTCTATCAAGAAGCAGCACCCGACATATCTCATCGCCGCCACCCACTCAAAATTGTACCCCCTATTGTCTAGAAAAGCCCCACCCCACAGATGTCCTTCTTAACATAAAACAAGGAGGAGAGACTTCCTGGTGCCAACAGAGAAATGAGAACTCTTGTGTTTACTTCCTTGACACATGGTTCTGGCCAAACACAGAGAGCTCTCTCTTTCTAAGATGCGAGTCTCTTTGCAAAACGTGTCCTGAAAACTAAGTAGAATTTCAGAAATCGAAAGGGGGAGGGCATCACCTTCAAGAAGATCCCTTGCCAATCCTGGCTCTGCCCCTGTTGAGCGTACAAAATCCGATAGGACGACGTCCATATCCAGGGTCATGTGATCATGAATTCCTTGCGGGTGGGTGGGAACGGGTGGGACATCGATCCAGGCTTCCGCTTCAGTCTGGAGGAGGGAAGAGGCAAGGAAGGGCCAGATTTACAGGCTGTCTGAAAAGCTTGGGTGGGCAACTAGAAATCTCTCTATTGGTCATTTTAAGGCATTTGTAAAATACCCGGAAGGTGCCTAAACAGGTCAGAGCCGCATGCAGGGAAACTATGCTTTGCATTTGCAGAATCACAGAACTGTGGAGCTGGAAGGAACCCAAAGGGTCATCCAGACCAACCCCCTCCGATGTACTTAGGAAAGGAAAAGGACGCCCCACACAACATAAAGATGTGTCCAAATGAAACGAGGAAGCGCAACAGGTCAGTGCTGGAAACAAACAAATAAATCGGGCGTTACAAGCATATAGATGTCACCTTTAGCAAAACCCTAGCCAACAGCTATGACACAGAATCGTGGAATTGGAAGGGACCCCAAGGGTCTACTAGTCTAAACATCCCTGACAGACGGACCATCCAAACTGTTTAAAAACCTCCCGCGAAGGAGAGTCCACCATCTTCCGAGGTGTCATCCATTCCACTGGCCCACAGCTCTTCCCCGCAGAAAGTTCTCCCTGACGCTTCGTCGGAATCTCCATTCTTGTAATGTGCTACACTGAATCTTTGGCCGCCACACTGCTCAAAAGGGCAGGATCTCCAGCGGGCAGCCAGCCCCCCACCCCAAATCCAGCCAAAGGTCCATCGGCAAGGCTTTCGTCCACTCTCTGCATGAGCCTCCCCCTGCCCCCCCCCACAGAAAGTGAAGGCAGAATGGGCTCTCCCGCTACCAAAGGGGTCTTGGGTCTCAGCACATGCCCGATCCGGGAGAGGGAGGGGGTTTAGACCAGGGGCTCCCTAAGTGGGGAGTACCTCACCTTGGGGGGGGGGGCGGTGGGGTTCCCAGAGGGAGCATTAAGCAGCAAGGGGGTGGCAGGGCAGCATAAATGACCACCCTTGTTGTTGTTGTTGTTTAGTCGTTTAGTCGTGTCCGACTCTTCGTGACCCCCTGGACCAGACAAATGACCACCCAATTATCAGCAAATCTGGAATCCCTGGCTCAGTTTCATCAGTTTTGTGAAACTAATTAAACTAAATAGTTTTAACTGGATTTTGAATGCAATGTCTAGTTCTGAATTTCATCATGTTACAGTGGTACCTCGGGTTACGAACTTAATTCGTCCATTCTTAACCCGAAACCATTCTTAACCCGAGGCACGCTTTCGCTAATGGGGCCTCCCGCTGGTGCCGCACCGCTGACGCCGATTTCTGTTCTCATCCGGGGGCAAAGTTCTCAACCCGAGGTACTACTTACGGGTTAGCGGAGTTTGTAACCCAAAGTGTTTGTAACCTGAGGTATCACTGTACAGTGGTACCTTGGGTTAAGAACTTAATTCGTTCCAGAGGTCTGTTCTTAACCTGAAATTATTCTTAACCTGAAGCACCACTTTAGCTAATGAGGCCTCCTGCTGCTGCCGTGCCGCCAGAGCACGATTTCTGTTCTCAACCTGAAGCAAAGTTCTTAACCCGAGGTAATATTTCTCGGTTAGCGGAGTCTGTAACCTGAAGCATACGTAACCCGAGGTGCCACTGTATTCTCTTTCTTAGTGGGTCATGCAAACTACTCTTCTGGATAATGGTTTTTATATAGGGTAAGTTGATGGAACCAAGAGGACAGTGGTCCCTCCCAAAAAAGTTCGGGTACCACTTATGCAAAGGGTGTAAAGCAACGTGGGGTGGTAACGGCAACCTTCTGGTCAGCTGGAGCCAGCCTTGCCACCCTAATACTGTTGGGCTTCAGGCTCCTGCCAGCCAACATGCTGGCTGGCTGGTTAAGGACGACAGAGCGGGGGCTGGAGAGTCCAGCAACATCTGGAAAACCGCAGGTTCCCCACAGCAGTCGCAAAAGCAGAGGTCTTCAGGCAGCTGCTGCAAAACAGCAGTTGCAAATTAGCACTCTTGTCTGTTTGCTTGTTTGTTTGTCTGTTTGGCAGAAACAGAGGCTGGGCAGCCTTGAACTCTGGTTTCCCTCGTGTGGGGAGAAGGCTTTCAGGATTATCTGAAGGCTCTCCAGAAAACCAGCTCCAGGAGAGGCCAATTCAAACAAGGGAGAGGGAGCGCTCCAGACACACCCAGGGAGGACGGATGCTGCATCGCCACTCTTGTTTTCCCAGAAAAGCAAAACTATAAATTATGTGGCAAAAATGGTCTGCGAAGCCTGCAGATGGCAGCTCCCCAAGTGTTTCCACAGCTGCCGCCGCTCGGAGATTTCCAGCAAACGCCTTTGGGGACGGGGGCTGCAAGGCAGGAAAGGCGGGCCGTGGAATCGTAAACTTGTAGAGTTGGAAGGAACCACGAGGGCCACGCAGTCCCACCCCATGCAATGCAGGAATCTCATATTCAGGCTTCTCTATGGCGGCCTGCAAGAAGATCCAACCTCTCCATTCTGAAGGAAATCAGCCCTGAATGCTCACTGGAAGGACAGATCCTGAAGCTGAGGCTCCAAAACTTTGGCCACCTCAGGAGAAGAGAAGACTCCCTGGAAAAGACCCCGGATGTTGGGAAAGATGGAGGGCACAAGGAGAAGGGGACGACAGAGGACGAGATGGTGGGACAGTGTTCTCAAAGCTACCAGCATGAGTTTGACCAAACTGCGGGAGGCAGTGGAAGACAGGAGTGCCTGGCGTGCTCTGGTCCAGGGGGTCACAAAGAGTCGGACACGACTAAACGACTAAACAACAACATGGCGGCCCCTAAATTGTGGGACTCCCTCCCCAGAGAAGTGCGTCTGGCCCTTTCTTTATACAGCTTTCGGCAAATGGTGAAGACAGACCTCTTCCCTTCTTGGTAAACTTTTTCTTCTTTTTTAAAATTTCATTTTATAACGTACCGAGAACAGAGATGTTGGGTGAAAATGAAAAGACGAAAAACAAAATTATGAAATGGGCAGATAGAATGAGTACAGTTGCACATGGGTTAAAATAACAAAGAAAAGGGGAGATTAAAACAAAAGATCAGAATCTGTTTATGTATGCCACAGCCGCCGCAAGAACCCTACCGGCCCAAAAATGGAAAACACAAGATATACCAACCATCCAGGAGATGAAGATGACAGAATTTGCGGAACTTGACAAATTGACAGGGCGGATCTGGGACCAAGAGGACCAGAGACACAAGAACAATTGGAGTAAATTTATTGAATACTTAAAGGAGAACTGTAAAATCTTAAAGACACTAGCAAGACTGGAATAATACCTTCAATGTAAAATAGTAGAGATATAAGAATAATATACGTGATAAGAATGTGATAAATATACTGTAGGGAGGGAGGGAAGTCAAGACTCGGCAGAGTCAAAGGGAATATATTGTGATAATAAGAATTGTTGGGAAAAGAATATTTAAAGAAAATAATAAAAATTTACTTGGAAAAAAAATAACAAAGAAAAGAATACCAGCGTTCTTGGATTATGAAGTCTAGTTCCAGATTTGCCAAGTTCATGTCATGACAAAGGTCATCTTGACAATGATAGTTTTGCTTTATTTATTTAAAAATTATTTAAAAATGCCAAATCCATTATTATTATTATTATTATTATTGCATTTAATTGTACTCCACCATTTTCCCTGATGGGACTCAAGGAGGCTTCCCGATAAAAACAAGAATATAGAAAAATTGACCATTAAAATACAAGTAAACACTGAGAGAATGCAAACTATATAAACTCTGCTTAATCCATACAGATAATTATGAGCCTTCTGGGTTCACCTCGGCAAGAAGGAACGGAGCCACTGTAAAACAGTGCCTCCAGGTCCCATCCCAGCCAGGCGGCCCAGAAGGGTACCATGGTTGATGCTATCGAAATCCGCCAAGAGGTCCAGCAGAACAGAGACACCTTCCTCCTGTCCAGATCCCAACATAAGTCGCCCTCCAAGGTGACCAAAGCCATTTCTGTCCCACAGCCAGGCCTGAAGCCGGATGGACATGGGTCTCGAGAATCTTTCTCCTCCAGAAAGCGCTGGAGCCGAGATGCCACCACACGCTTTAATTCCTTCCCTCGAAAGGGATGTTGGAAACTGGCTGATAACTATCCAATACGGTGAGATTCAGGAAGGGCTTTTTCAACAGAGGTTTTTTAACTGCCTCCTTTAGGTGCCCTGGAATCCCGCCTTGTTATAAGGAGGCACCAACCACTCCCTTCGCCCCCTCTGCCAGCCCTCCACTCTCCCTTTGTTTTTTGTTTTTTTAACATAATTTATAATTTATTTAACATCATTATTAGAAAATATAAGCAAAATACTGCAAATACATACATACGTATATATTTCAGATAAGCACACATAAATAAATAAAGAACAAAAGAGAAAAAAGGAAGAAAAGAAAAAAGAAAAAAGAAAGAGAAAAAGAAAAAGAAAAAGAAAAGAAGAAGAAAAGTTGGAAGAATTTCTTCCAAATTTATTCTGCAAATATCTCAATAATAAAATTTCACTGATTGACTTCCATCGCTTACACTGCACTTCCTAAATACATTTTAAGCAAGATTGTATCTGTTATTCCGTATTTCCCCCATACAATCTCACACAAATATTCTAATCAATAAGTTTTCTAAATCTTTCATAAATCTATTCTAAATACAACTGATACCTTACATTTAATCTTTGTCTACATAAATAATCATTTGAACATTTCCATTGTTTCTGGATTATATTTTTTGGCCTTCACTCGCCCTTTGGATGAGCCAGGAAGGGAAAGGATCAAGCGCACATGTGGCGGCTCTCACATTTCCCAAGGATCCTGCCCACATCCTCAGGCGGCACAAATTGGAAGCATCCATTAACACAGGACAAGCAAGAGGCCAAAGTTACGCCCACCGGACCTGAATCAACTGTGGTGTCCAAGTCAGAGCAATTTCGTCGACAAAATGTCTGGAGGTTCTAGCCTTTATCAAAATCCCAAATTATGTGCCATTTTCTCCATTATACCTCTTTTCCAGAGGGAATCGTACCAAGCAAGATCACAGAATCATA